TAATAAATACATATAACTCGGTTAAACTATTCAGTAGAACCTACCTTATTCATAAGATGATGTTCGTCTAGGGCTTCACGCAAAAATTGTTCGATATGTTCTCTTTCTAAGACCTTGGATTTTTTTGGTTGAAAATGTTTGTGCTTAGACTTTAGAAATGCCACTAGTCTTCTGAATTTAGAAATTTCAATGTTCTTGTAAACTCGCAAAGTTGACTTCAACATGGAATATTTAGTCCACAACGTGGATGGACCTAATTTCTCACTTAAATTGAAAAAATAAGACAGCAAGGCACCTTAATTTACGCTTTTTATCCCTTCTTTGATTTTCCAATCTTGAAATTCCTTCAGTTCTCTGTTGTATATAGATTTTGATTGGAATGATGCCTGCAGTAGCCGCATTAGATTTTTCTAAAATTTCAGATGGAATTTTCACATTTCCCATTTTTTCAGTCTTGGTTTTCAGATTTCAACGTGTTTCAACTCAAAAAATGACAGACACAATTTAGGTTGACACTCGCATCCTTTTCAATATTTCAATATCAATTTTTATAATAAGCCAATTTAGACAAAAACTGCTTTCGCATTATTTTTTCTGTGACACTTTGTATCTTTCATTTTATGGAAGTATAGTGTTTCCTTGTCGATAATACATAAATAATTCATGCAATATTGAAGTGAATTGAAATGCCCTAGAACTTCACCGAGTTTTATTATTATAGCCATCAAGTCGCATAACTTTTCGCCATACGACGAAAATAAATTGCGAACTGTAGAATTGTCATCATTGAACTTAATTGACCAGTACTATTTTAGTTGCTCGAACAGGGCAGACTTTAAGGAAATTACAAAGCTTTATTAGTAAAATCCGATGGCTTAATAATTACAGATAAGGTTTTATTTGTACTTCTAATAGAAAGTTAAGAAAAACTACACTTACTTCATTTGACTTTTATTTTTAGTTAATTGACTGCTTATATCCTGAAGTGAAATTAAAGGCTGGTTTTAAAAGTATTTTGTTTTTTATATTAACGTAGTTTGATAATAACTTTATTTATCCAAAAATAAATTAAATTATTGACATATGGCAATACCACTTTCTTCTCTTTTCATTTCAATACAAAAGTGTCTATTAAATCTTCTTCATCTTGAGATTGTGGACACCTACCTACCAGGTAATTTTGTGATAACTTGTGGGTGTACTTCCAGCTTTGACAAATAACTAAACAATTTAGCGTTGTCCGAAGAACTTGTTCGCACAGAGCAGGTTCCAAACATATTTTTGTACAAAGAGTGTAGTCACTTAGGAATGGACGCAGTTTAATGGTGATCTGGAGGTTAAGGTAAAGTAGTTGAACCAAACACAGCTTAATTAAACGTCATTTTCAGTCAACACTGTGTAAAATTATAAAATACATGATTATAGAAACTATGTTATGGTTTTTAGCGATTTAAAAGAATGGAGAGTGATGGAGCCGGATTAGGATTCAACACGTCAAAATACATAAAAATACATGGGTCTAATCTTTGGAACATAGGTACCACCTTTCCTTGTGTGCCTGTATTATATATTATAGTCCAACCAAATTACACTTAGAGACAAAAAAAAAATGTTACCTGCACCTTTATAAATAGAAATGGTAAAGGGGCTTATAATAAACTTAAAAAAATTAATGCGTGAGCGTGGGTGGTGGAGGGTTGATTTGGGGGTTGAAAAATGTTATTATTGCGATTATCGACGTCAAAAAAATTATATAGGTAATACAAAAGTTACATACAAATCGAAAAAAAAATGTGGTTATTATTTAAGACACAGAGAGGTAATATTTACACCAAGTTTCGTCAAAATTAAATTGTTTTTGCAGAAATGAAAAATAAAAAACAAAAAACAAAAGAAAACATGATAAAAAAATATAGGTCTAATTTCAGTAAAATTTGGCATCATAAGGATTGCTGGTTGATCTCACCTTCATTAATCACATATCTGGAGCCAAATTCTCATAAATCAAGGTAAAAGATTCCACTCCGTCTAAAAATGTGACTTCGCTTAAAAAAATGACTTAAGGACTATACACATGTAATGATGTGTAGTGTGATGTGCTTGTTTCCATGGGACAAGACAAAAAAGTTTCTACTTTATTCTTTCATTTATTTAGTCGTGCATGGGCTTATGGTTTTCCAATTCGATTTTTTTAACTACTATGCAGTTTTCCTATGGCATTTAGATGCTTTTATTTCTTAATAATTTTAAAGTTCAAGGAAAAGGACACATTACTGCCACACAGCACATCACTGCATCTACTTATGCCTTCAATCTAAGGCAATCTAAAATGTGACTTTGCCGAAAAAATGCCGCCTACTCTGCCTACAAATTTTACCTAGATTTATGAAAATCTGGCTCCAAATGTGTGATTAATGAAGGTGAGATCAACCAGCAATCCTTATGATGCCAAATTTTACTGAAATCGGTGGATTTCAAAAAAGTACACCCGCCATATTGGATCAGCCATCTTGAATTTTTACAATGTGAATTCATATTCGTAATCAGCGACCCAAAAAAACCCTTTGTACAGAATCTGGTCAAAATCCGCTCAGAATTTGAAAATAGCGATTCCTGCTCGGTTTTTTGAGGTTAGAAAAAAAAACACACGTTCTAGTTCAATTCTGACAGTGGATTTGAATTCAGCAGAGTCTTTTACATAAAAATGTACTATTTGATGTGGAAATAATTTTTTTTCCAAATTTTCCCAGTAAATTTTCATCAATTCTGACCCCAGATTCGTGTTCAGGAGGCCAAATTACTACGAAAAATATATGTCGCATAAAAAGTATACCCAACTTTTTTTTTTCTCTGTGGCTGTTATTATTAATGAGGCACTGATGGATTGGGAACCAAATAATTATTACTTATTCAATTTATTATTAAAATGAGTTTTCGTTGGGTTTTCAAATTGTTTGTGGAGGAGAAACAATAAATATAAAAACTCCTGAAATTATTAAATTGATGGTTCTTAAATATTTATTAAATTTTGATACCCTTTGGAAACTGATAAGATTTTACTGATTTTTAATAAATTCGACCCCTTCTGCAGGATTTGTGATGATTTTTATAATCTTTTTTTCTTCTAATAGAAATTAATTGGTATACTAATCTCGTATGTTTGTTCTGTCCCAAAACGGAGGCAAATTTCGGAACAAATGCCCTTTGATGCACTGCTGCTTCGTCTTCTTCTAAGGCCGGATCTGTCCCGTGTCATTTGCTCCCACCTGGGCCAGGAATTATGCACTGGGGTCAGCGTAGGTGTCGGACCGTAAGAATAACGCGTCTGACATAGTCACTTTCAAGAATTTGTTGGTATTCAGAATGCATGCTATGATGCATACGTGTTATAATGACACCCACGCAACTGCGTTGCGATTATCAGTATTTTGTGTTAATGCAACGAAAGCATATTGTTGTAAGATCCGTCGAAAAAGTAACCGGTTGAAACCAAAGTGAAGAGTATCAAGATTACTTGCCGAGTAATTTAAAATTTAGCAACTACTACTCAAGGAGGAAACCACGTAAATTAATATTTATTTTTCTCTATTTTTATTTACCTCTTTGATTTCAGTAAGAAAATAACTCTTCACAGCGTAAATAATATGCAAACTACTTTGGAGCTTCGTTAACAGCAGGAAAAATTTCTTCGAATATGCTTCACAAATAACGTATAACAAATGAGAGTCCGCTAATGGCTCTGAAATGCTGAGCCTTTCGGCTCTGTTTATTTTAATTCCCATGACATCGATGCGTTTGATGATATTTGTAAAAGAATACATTTCTTTTATAATAATTCCCCCATTCTACAAATTGACGAAGTTGACGTTTTTAAACTTGTAAAAATATAAGAAGAAGTGCTATTAAGTAAATCATTATAAATTTTAATCTAAATTTCAAAATTGCTAACTACTCACGTGAGTGCAAAAAAGGTAGAATCTGTCCGGTTTTCAAAAAAGCGGGTTAGAAGTCTAGTAGAAAATTAAGATTATGCAACACATATTCAGTCACTGTAAATTTATGTAATATTACACAGTATTGGACTGAAGAAAGTCTTAATAAAGTCACATGTCAATTGTATCTGCACGTATTTGACTAAAAGCTTTAACAAATTGAAATATAAACTATTATGTAAAATTTCGTTCTAGTAGCGTACCCCAAGATAGCAACTTCAGTAAAAAAAAATAATAAATTAAAAAAAAATTAAAAGAACCAATCTTTTCTTTTTAAATTTTGTAGTCGAATTTATAAAAACCAACATCTTAGTGTATGCAGATGATATGGAACTACATATATGTGGAGGTAAGGTAAATACATACATACATATATGATTGCGGAACATTATAACAGTTTTGTTCAGATAGTGATATATTTTCCAAGTAACTATTGTCATGTAAAAATTGAGTTTAAATTGTCTATCTGTAGATTTGTCCCTTTTTTCAGAATGTGCGTCTAATCTATTGAGTGTTTATTATGGTTTCTATTATATTAAATTGGGAAGATAGGTAAAAACTGTTTGCTTTTTACCATTTGATTTAGTTAATATAAATTACTATAATTTCTTACAATCTATGCATTTACTGTTAGATTTTTATGAGTAGTAATTTCTCTCATTTTATTTTTGGATACTTCAATTTTTTATTTTCACAAAAATAAAAATATACTTCTGGAAAGGTCGAAATGCTATGATATTACGTACGTAATTATTAAGTCTAAAAAGTCCCATAATTTGAGTTGAAATTTTCAAAAATACATTTTTTTATTTAGTGCCATTACTTATAAAACTGGAATGTAGACACGATATAATTTGAAAACGGGAAATAGCTTTTGCATATAAAATTCGTTTACAATACCTTAAAAATGCGGAAGTCACAAATTGGCCGACTTTTGATTTATGTAAGGTATAAATAGACGTAGACATTAATACGAATGAAACTGATTGGATTTTATTTGTTTTTCAGAAACTATCACACCAAGGCTTAATTATATTTTCACATCATTCTGTTCAAAATGGTAAGTAAATTTGATTTTATATTACTTTTTGACGTTTATTATTTATTATGTCATTATTGGCTTAATTCCTCATTCCTAAAAAATTAAATAAACTCCAGATACGAAAGATATTACTCTATATAAAGTACTCGGAAGTACATTCAGATTAATATATTAAAAATATTACAAACATGTTCTGCAACACCTAGACGCAAAGAAATTTAAAAAAACCTCAAAAGGTTTCCAACATTTTCAAAAAAGTTTAAATTCCTGAACTGATACCACTTGTATTTTTATATTATTATACTATTAAATATTTTATTGTAGATATTTTTCGTAAAGAATAGCTATTTATGATATACGTGTTAAAAGTAAGATTTTATTTTGTGAGTGAAGATGATTAAAAAACGAGCGTAGCGAGATTTTTAACTTCACAAACAAAATAAAATCACTTTTAACACGTATATCATACACTATTTTTTCTACAAAACTGTTAAATGTGGGCTTTTTAATTGTCATTTTTGATGTTAAAAATGTAATTTTTTGACACGCGTGTTAAAAGTAAGTTACTTTTAACACTAGTGTTAAAAGTAACATCAAAAATGACAATTAAAAAGCCCACTTTTAACAGTTTTGTAGAAAAAACTAGTTTTGAAATTACCTCCAAACATTTTTGGAGCCACTTAACTGTAGATACTTTCTTGGCGATATGTTACAAGGGGTCATCCATAAATTACGTAAGGGTATTTTTTCATATTTTCAACTCCCCCCTCCCCCCATGTAAGAGAAACCGTAAGATTTTTCATAACCCCCCTCCCCCACCTTACGTAATACATTACATGATTCAATAATTTTTTTTTATAATAAAAAAAGCTTTACAACTTCTAATTTTAACATTTATTAATATATTTGTTATATTATAAATACATAATAACATTTATTAATATATTTGTTATATTATAAATACATATATACTAAGAAAAATAGTCTCGAGCAAATTTGTCTACACTGCCATCGACGGATTCTGTAACCATTCTTCCATTGATTCAATAATTGCTAGTGAATCATCCTCTTCAAGCTGATCTTCAGTCTCTCTTTTATTGACACAGGCAGACACATATTTATCCTCGATATCAGTTTTGTCAATCCATTCATCACTCTCAATTCCTGTACCTTCGTCTTTAAATATGCATAAAACCTCTTCTTTTCTTGCAGCTTCTATACTATTCAACTTTAATTTACTTGGATTTTTTTTTGGCAACTGAATGTTTTAAAGATTTGGCATGAAATGCCAGGGCTTTCTTCGAAGCAAAATAAAGATGACATGTTGTACAAATTCGATTCGATAATTCCGACTGTACTGTTTGACAATAAAATTATTACGTAAGAATTTTATTTCCCCTCCTCCCCCCCATGTAAGGAATGATAAGAAAATGCTGAGCCCCCCCCTCGCCATTGAACCCTTACGTAATTTATGGATGACCCCCAATCCCAAAAAAATGTTTGTAAACGCATAATAACAAGTGCCAAACACATTATGATCATTCTAATGGAATATAAAAAGTCAGTAACTAGTTGGTTGATATTTGAATTATTATATTTACTTCAGGAAACTTTCCCGTGCGAACTGTTTCTCCATTTCAAAGATAAATGTAATTTTCAAACAGCGAAACCAATTTTGATGACGGAGACATCTTAAATTCGATTTTTATTCAGTTCCAGTTAGAACTACTCTTCCAAAAATGAGCCCGAAATCTATACACTTTTTTCTGTATAATACCATACACTTTTATGTCAAACATACTGACGAAGGCATGATGCAGTGTGGAACGCAGCCTACAAAGCCTGAAGGAGATCAACAACTTTCTGATTTCTGATTTCTTATCAAGACAAACCACAAAAGTTGGATGAAAGATCGATTTCTAGGTTAAAGTAACAAAGTTCTTTCGTATCGCCTTTGACAATCAATCACCGGTTTGTTTGTTTCAATCGATTCAATCGTTCCAAAGTTACCAGCAAAAATATTACTTTATGTTTTCGGTACAATTCAATTTCTAAGTTGACACCCGTCTTCACGAACGATTTTATTGACGTATCCAAGTGAAAAAACTAGTTAAACCGTTCAGATTCCAGTTACCGATGTATCTACTACCTGTTCTCTTTGTTGAAATGTTTATCGATAGAAACATTTTCAATAATTAAGATGGGCGGCATGACATAGCTAACATTTCAATGCACTTTTCTGGTGTATCCATAGCCAGCACTTCAGTCACATCCTGTTGCGTTCTTATACCAAATATCGCTAGTTACAATGAAACATGTAAATCATCTTCCATTTTGAGGGTTGAAAACAAAGAATGAGAAACACTTATCAATTCAATCGAAAGATGTTCCTGACGTAATTTTATACATAGGTGAAGTATATGGTGAAGCATCAAATGCGTAAATTGTACAATTATTTTCTTTCAAGCGAAATAATATGGGCCGCTCCCTTCTTTTGTTTATGTACCTAATAGGAGTCGTGTCTGCGCCAGAATCGCGATAGGTGTGCCAAATATATAATTTAGTGAAGGTATGTAGCTTATCTAATTTTTTGGATTAATCAAAACGGACGGATTTGCCTTTAAGTGTACGCATACATAAAATATATTTGCATCTAGGACAGGAAATATTTAATTCTGTAAAATTGATACCTACAGAATGAAAGTACCTGCGATCTTTAACTGTTTTCATTGTTAAAAGATTTTGGAAAAACAGATTAAAAAAGTGTGTTACTAGAGTTTAATTGTTAATTGGGAATTTTTCCAACGCCATCCTGGAATTTTGTACGGAAAAATATTATATTCAAAATTTATCCAACTGCAGCACTGTTGACATATGTAATTTATCAAGCCAATACGACCAACTACAATATTTGTTTAACATAGTCAGCAAATTATACTTAAAAAATTCGGAACAACTTTTATAATATAAACAATCTTGAAAAATTACTCAGATATTTGAACCAAAAACTTTGTTAGATACAGTGTGTCAGAAATTAGACGTATTTTTATGTCTGCCAGTATTTTTATTTCTTTGCATTTTTTAATGCCTCCCTTTTGTATTAACTCAGCTTTAGTTAAGTATTTTCTGATTTGTTCCTTTATTCTATGATGAATAATAAATCGTTACAGCAAATGAAATATGAAGAGTTGTATTTAATATTCGTACGTTTAACAAATGGCACTTATGTAAATTATGCGCTGCTACTTATACCACTCGAGACGTTACTTAATGACATGTAAATTTCGAATTAGTGACCCGACTTCCGGTCTCGTATGTTAAACTAATGTTAATTATTAATTATGTAATCTAATGATCTGTACCACATGTCTGAACTTAATTAAGGGATATAGCGTCGAAACTGGAATATGAATGAATTTTAGTTGTATGGAGAATTCGGGCTAAATATTTGTAGCAGAATTTTAAAAGTAGTGTTTTATATTACGAAAAAAAATTAAAAAAATATATTATTGATTCTCTACCTACGTAATGTGAGGTAGGTACATTTGAACAAACAACGATTATTAGATACAGCACTATTATTGCGTTGTTTTTAATTTCTGGATTTAATAACCCTCTTCAGTGAAGGATACACAGGATAATAAACTCAAATCCAGTGTGGTTATTTGCACGGCAACTTTTGCTTGCTCTTGTTGGCTGTAGATTGACTTACGTTGTTTTATTTCAAATTACTTTATTCAAATGAGTGGATATGGGATTAATGTATAGGGAGTCAAATATGATTTAATTATGACTGTTTGTATGCGAATCGTTATCCCGAAAGACAATAACCAAATCTTAGAACAGTGCAAAACGGTGTTCAAAGATTACGGGACATCGGTAGAGTGAATTCAATGTATGAAGGTCAAAGACAAGAAAGACCGCAACGTGTTTTAAATGAATCTATATAAATTTTATAGATCAAAAAAGCTACAAAGCTTCATTGAGGATTGAAGTTATAAAAAGCAGACATATAAAGATATCCAATTAATTTCGAAATCGTTAATTGCTAATCTTGCAGTAATTGAAGTCGCAGTCGTCCTTCTATTAAATTCCCTGAAACGGTCATCAGTAAAATTGAGGAAATTCAAATAACGGTACAATTTTTCTTTATAAACTGGGAATAATGAGGTCGGCGCTATTATTCATTAGACTGTAATATTTTTATTTACGTCTTATCAGGTCAGAGTACGTACCGTGAAGCCACCATGAGTACGAGTAATTGATGGACTAAAAAGCGTGGTATTTATTAATACCCAATGAAGGGCAAGTAATATATGAACACTGTTCCAACAAATGAAAATCTGAAAAGGAAAATAATTAATAACAGTGTTGAAAAGAGTACGCATTTACCTAGTAGTGAAATCATAGAAATCTGAAAAGATTCGAACAATTATGAAATTGAGATATAGCATTCTAATGGAGATAACTGATGGAACTAAATTATGAACCAGAAACAAATGTAGCTGTTGAAAAATGTTGGATTTTAAATCTAGTGAAAGATGAGCATTTATTTTCATTGAAAATAGAATGAAATACTTACCAAGAAAAATACTCCCATAGAGGTAAACAAATATTATGCTTACCCATTTCACTCTTACATATTAAATATCTCTTACATCTTTTTGATACATATTGTAAGATAATTCATAATGAGTAGGCATATTTGGCTGTCAAATTGAAGTCACTATGTTGTGTTTGAATAAAATTTCTAAAATAATATTATTCAGACACACCTTAGGGAATCATTTCTTGACAAGAAAAGAAATATTGTATTTCTTAAAATATAGTTTAAATTAAGGCATAATAAAAAGGAAAAGTGAAGTAAACATTTTTATTATCCACAAGTTATTTTTATGTTGTCTTTGTTCATAAAATAATTTGATGTATAACTGACCAAATGCAAAAATAAACGTTGTGCTAAAGATACATATTTATATTCTTCAGTAATGTCGGGCATTATTGTTAACTTTGTAAGT